CATGGTGATGTCGAGCAAGTCGCGGGTGGTACGAGGCTTTTAATAGCCGAGCTTGTGGATCAAGGACTCATAAGTTGTCCCGGAGAGGAACGCGCTGATGATGTCCGCGTCAACCACATCAGGAAGGGAGTTGCATTATTTTGAGAACCTATAGATGTAATCCTATAGGGACTCGTTGGGCTCCTACTAGCAGCTTTTGAGGTCCTAGGAATTACTAGGATGGACATACGTCCCTTGAAATTCTTGATGAAGAGCCTCTTGAGATCCGCCTAGTCGCGGATGCTGTCAGGCGAGAGGAATTCGAGCCATGCTCGAACATGTTCTCCCATGCAGATGGGGAGGTATTGAATGATGAAGTGGTCATCATCCATTCCTCTGGCTCGTCAGGCGAGCCGGAAGTCTTCGAGCCATATATTAGGATTTGTTTCCTCGGTGTATTTGGCGATGTTGGTATGCGGTCGGAAGCATTGTGGGAACGATGCTTTCTGGATGCGACGCACAAAGGCTTGTGGTCCTAGGTTGTTCGGGCTGGGACTCTAGTCGTCTGGTCGATGACCATGCCTAGGGTGCGTGTCCCCGCTCCCCTCGATGGTCTGGCCGAGGCTCGTGCCGCCTGCTCTCATCGCCTTGGTGGACGTCATCATCACGCGAGGCTTGACTCCTGTGGTTGATGACGCTGCTGCGGGCGTCGTGGTTTGGTCCGAGCCATTCACGCAAAGGTGGTTGGTGTGGAGCGAGCGCCAGGTCAGGCCGTGGAGCAGCTGTGGCCTCCTGTTCTATGCCCAGCTGACTGTAGTGGTGAGCGGATGGAAGCGATTCGACTGGTGCGCCCCATTCCCCGGTAGGGAAACAGGCCACGAGTCGATGTCACGACGTGGAGCTCTCCGCCTGTTGAACATCGGCGGTTTCCACCAGCGCCCGGAGGTTCCGGTGGATCACCTACTCCTAGGGGAAAAGGCTCTCGGAAGGCATATGCGAAGCATCACCACACGGCGATGTTACAGCCACCGAGTGAACTATGGGGATCATTTCCTCCATCCATGATGTCGCGCTGGACCTGACGGGCGTGACCCCGGGCGCCGCTCGCCGGGTTACGCGTGTGTGGCATAGCGTGCTTCGCCGAGCACGCCAGCGCAGGTGGTAGTTGTCTCTGCCGCCTTTGTCACAACTCTTCGCCATACTGCTGCGCACAAGCGATGGCCTTCGCATGAGGGTCCGGAGGGGTGTGAGTCTATAGAGATTTCACTACCACCGGTGGATGTCCCGGAGCGTCCGCCATAGCGTACTCTCGGGAAAGAGGGTGGCTAGGTGCCACGATGTCATCGATGTTGGAGCCGTCGCTTTCAAACTTGTCATCCATGAGGTCATGGAAAGAGGCAGAGAGCGTAGCCCACCATCCCCATAAATTTGGATGTGAGAGGGGGTGATGTCAGCAACTTTTGGAGCCCCCAGCGCGTACACATCCATGGGGGATGCGAGGTCATAGGGGAACCGGTCGCACGTCGGTCACGGCGGGGGTAACGGGGCCCTTCGAAGAATCGGCGGAAGGTATTCAACAATGAGTAAAGAACAATATGTACGTTACTCACAGTGGGGTTTGAGCCTAGTGTGGGCTCGAAGCGAAGCGCATGTGTCTCATTGTTGAGGCCGTCGGGTGGCCTAGAGCCGACATAGAGCGCTCCTCCTCCGACGGGTGTTGGGACAAGTGTCTCCTCGCGGAGGCGATGCACGCCGAGCTGGCCGGCGACGAAGTCTAGGCTTCCGAAGAGGAAGGTTTGGAACGGCTCGAAGACGGGAGAAACCCACATCCCAACAGGTGGGAGCGTGGAAAATTCCAGCGAGCCAAAGCAAATCGTATCGCTTGAGCCCGTCATACTGAAGATGGTGGAAAGGTGTGCCATCCGATGACCAAAAGCGTGAACGCACGGCGTCCTCCCCACGAACAACGCCAACTGTCGGTGCGAAAAGTGACCAACAAGTAAATATTTGTAGTTTTGCCGTACATTGTGATCGGATGTGGCCTAGCACTCAATGACACAGGGTTTATACTGGTTCAGGCAACGTGCCCTATGTCTAGTTTCAGTCGGTCGGTGACTTTATTCCTGAGCACAGGTGCTCGAAGTTTGCAATGGGGTTACAAACGAGTGGGGAAAAAAGAGGGTGTTAAAGGTCCGGTCGAGCTTTGGATCGAAGGGCCAAGAGTGACGGGAGCTCCAACATGCGCAAAGTATTGGAACGTATGCTCTGTGTAGCTTAGAGTTCTAGAGTTGTGGAGTTGTTCGAATGCTTAGAATATCTAAGGCTTAGCAGAGAGAGAGAGTCGGAATGATCGTCCTCTGTTGGGAGAGAGCGCATCCCCTTTTATAGGTGAAGGGGATGGCCTTACAAGTGAGAGAGAGAGTGTGCTCATGTTTTACTAAGTCTTGTTGTCCACGCTGTCGGGTACAAGACGGTCGTCGGCGCCCACAATACTGTTTATGTCAGACGCATGTGATAGGCTTTACTGTACTCGCCTGGTATGGTAAATGTCGGCGCCCATAACATTGTAAGGCAAATGTCGGCGTCTATAACACTGTTGGGGTTCTGACATGCCTGGAAGGTTGTAAAGCACCCTTCTGGTATGGCCTGGCGGCACTGTCCTGCAGGTGTGCAAGGTACGATCCTCGGTATTACGGTTGACTTGAGCGCGTTGCCTTATCTGCTCTGCCTGATTCTTAGGTCCTCACCGAGCGGGCGTCCCCGGTCGATCATTCCCAGTCGACTTCGACCGCGCCGGTCGGAGAAGAGCTGTAAGCAGAGATTTGGTGCATTTCCGGTCAAAAAAACGGGTCGGACTCGGAAGCAAGTGTTGTCAAAAAAACGGGTCAGAGTCGGAAGCGAGTGTTGCCAGGCCTTCCGGTCGGAGACTGGATCGCTCATCCGACCTGTCGTTAGGTATCTAGGTCGGCCCAGGAGTCGCGCGTTTGTTGTAATGCCGTCTGCTGGGCCGAGCTTTTGCTGGGAAGCGGGCCCATCGGGGACGCTGGGTTTATGAACCCGACACAATGGTTTTCAAGTGTTTTAAGGTGTTATTTTAAAATGTTTGTGAAGCATGTTTGAAGTGTTGCAACTATAGTATTCGGATGTTTCAAAAATAGATCGGGTATTGCATCTCTCCTTCCCACCTTCTGTTGCATCGTCTCTCCCGGCACCGGTAGGGCATCCATACGATCGCGGCGTCCGGGTCCATCCGAATCGGAGGCGTCGCACAACCTTTCCGTCGCTCGGGCGGCATGGGCCCCTCGTGGAGCGTGAAACGAAGTGCAGCGGCAGCGTGGGCATCTGGATGCGGACGTCCGGACACTAGCACTGCAGTTAAAAAAGGCGAGAAGTATTCCCTTCGTCCCAAATTATTGGATGTTTTTGCATTTCTAGATTAGTAGCTTTTTGCTATGAATATAGACAATATATGTCTTGATATGCAGTAAAAGTTTTAAATTAATAAAAGTTAAAAGGTCTAATAATTTAGAAAAAAAATTGGAAGGGAGTATTATTATTTAGAATGTTTCTCCGCTCTGATGCATGCATGTCAGAACGTGTCGTGGCATCACAGGTGACGACTGGCGACAGTGAGGTGATAGTGAACCAGAAACCAAAGCCCAAAAGAAAAGGAAAACGTGGCCCATGGACCCTGAACGAATCACCGGTGAGAGAAAGCGCACGCGACGGACGCAGCCAGCAAGTCCCCATCTACTGTACCTCCTCTCGATCCAAGCATCGGATCGGCTAGGCGCACGCACCGCGCACGCTCGCTCTCGCTTGTGTTAGGTGGTAGACCTAGACCCGGACCCACCCACCCGCAGAGCGCACCGCAGCGCCACTCGGTCCGGCTGCGCGTCTCGTTGACGACGCTTTTACCCGTGTGCCGTTACAAAAGCGGTATATTAGGTGCAAATCAATTAATATGTATAAATTTAAAAACTATCGATCAGAATCTACTAGATGTTGATTTAATAGATATGATGAAGAAGCTTAAGCGTAAAAAAAGACCGACATATAGGGGCTTAAGTAAAAACATCCTACCTCTCACTTTATTTATTGGATCAGCATCTGATGGTTCTGATCGATAGTTTTTACGTTTACACAGGTTGATTGTTTTGCACCTAATACGTTGTCTTATAAAAGTTAGTAATTATCTATAAGTTATTAAAAAAGTTGAGTTCTCACAAGTGTCAATACTGTGAACTCTTTTGTCCTCTACGCTACTTTCGTTAGATTTGGCTTTAACGGTGTCAAACCGTGGTTGTGAAAAGTCCAAAATACCCTCAGGTCTGAATATGAATTAATTTTTTGGGCATCTTAATGACTTCAGATGAAAAAACTCAAAACTAAAAAATTGTAGATCTCGATAATATCTATAATTTTTTATAAAAATTATCTTCATTTAATTCTGTAAAAAAATATGATTTGATATTATTAATGTCTTAGAAAAATCATTTTTTTATAGAATCAAAATAGTTTTTATAAAAATATATTTTTAGTTTTGAGTTTTTTCATTTGAAATCATTAATATACTAAAAAATTAATTGTATATTTAGAATTAATGGTATTTTTGACTTTAACATCGTTAAAGTCAAATATGACATAAATGATATACTCCCTCCATCCCAAATTGTAAGATATTTGATTTTTTTGGCCTTAAGTTTGACCACTCGTCTTATTTAAAAAATTTGTACAAATATAATCAAATTTAAGTCATTCTTAAAGAATTTTTATTAATAAACCAAACCACGACGAAAGAAGTGATATTTTATATAAATTTTTGAATAAAACGAGTGGTCAAATCTTGATGTTAAAAAATTAAATGTCTTACAATTTGGGATGGATTGAGTAGAAGGCAAAAGAGCTGAGAGGAGTAATAATTGTGAGAACTCAACTTTTTTTTAACGACTTGCACATGACTAAAAGCTTTATTATAGGGTATCCGCGCGGCGCACCGGTTCGCCCCAAATCTCATTCCCATGGGCCGGAAAAAGCGAACCTCCGCACCAAACCCTACTCCGCCACCACCGGACGCCGCCCGCCGGCCGGCGGCCGCTTCGGCGAAGGCGGCCGGTATCGGCGGGGAAGATGCCGCTGTGCGCGCCGAGGTCGACAAGGCGCTCGCCTGCCTGCAGCGTGGCAACCACGCGCGGGCGCTGCGCCTCATGAAGGATGCCCTCGCCCGCCACGGGGAGGCCTCCTCGCCGCTGCTTCTGCGGGCGCACGGCACCGTGCACGCCCGCGCCGCCTCCGTCCTCGACGACCCCGCAGCCCGTGCGCGCCACCACCGGGCCGCGCTCCAGGCGGCCCAGCGCGCCGTCGAGCTCGCGCCGGAGTCCATCGAGCTGGCCCACTTCCACGCCATGCTGCTATTCGACGCCGCCAACGACGCCCGCGCCTACGAGGAGGTCGTCGCCGAGTGCGAGCGCGGCCTCAGCATCGAGGTCCCCTCCGACCCTTCACCCCACTCCCTCAGGCTGCCCGGCCCCGACGTTGACCAGGTTCAGTCCGAGCTCCGCAACCTGATCCAGAAGGCTAACCTTGCCTCCATCTCCACCTGGGTCAAAACCCTGGGCGGCGCGGGGGACGATAAGCTTCGCCTCATCCCTGTGCGCCGTCTTGCCGACGAACCGATGGAGGGCCGGCTTGTCCCCACGGCGCCCTCCCCGCGCCGCCCAAACGAGATCAAGAAGGCGACCAAGACCCCCGAGGAGCGCCGCCAGGAGATCGAGGTACGCCTGGCTGCCATGAGGCTGCTGCAGCAGCAGAAGGAGCAGAGCAATGGTGTTGTGTCTGCCACCCCCGCTTCTTCCCAGTCACAGGGAGATGAGGCCCCCTCATCGTCTCAGTCATCGGTGGGTGGACATAGAGCTGACCGGAGAAAAGGCGGGTCTAGGAAAGCAACAGGCTCATCTGCGTCTGAGCGCACTGATCAGGTGCGTGCCTACTGGGGCTCGATACCAGTGGAGCAAAGGCTTGCATTCTTAAACACTAGCATTTCCGAGCTCAAGTCACACTATGTTTCTGCAATACATAAGGAGAAAGATGCTGCCAGTGCAGCATCTGATGTGCTCAATGAGGTGATACGATTTGCCAACAAGCATGGCAAGTGGGATTTCATGGTATGTGGTAGGTGTCGTGAGCAGTTTGCAGATGTGGAGGCACTCCGGTGTCATGTCATGGGGGAGCATGTTGGGCTACTCTCATCTGAGCTGCAGGAAATGGTGCCACAGGAGATTGATGCTGACTGGGCAGAAATGCTCATTGGTTGGAACTCGAGGCCATTGGATGCTACTGCCGCACTGAAATTGTATGAGGAAGATCAAAACGACAACCTTGGAACAGATAGGGACAAGGAATCGAATTTGTTGGATAATTGGAGTAACAAAGACAAGTCGGACATGTCAGAATCCTCAGCCTCGCCACACAACGAGGTGTGTAATGGTTTTGGAGTGGTGGTGAGGGAAGGTGATGACAAGTGGCCACTCTCAGATGATGGCGAAAGGGCAAACATTTTAGAAAGAATCCATTCATCGTTCAAAATCCTTGTGAAGAACCATAATCTTTCAGTGGGTAATCTAAACAGGGTGATTCGATTTGCTGTAGAGGAACTCAGGGGGTTGCCATCTGGGTCACTACTGCTTAATCACTCTTTGGACGAGTCGCCACTTTGCATTCGCTTCTTGGAGGCATCATCACTGCGGAAAGTAGCTAAATTCTTGCAGGACTTAATGCAGGCCTCTGGACTTAATAGGAACTTAGAGAAGGCTGAAGGGCTAGGTGACGAGGATAGTTTCCCAAAAAACCACAATGTACTGGAGAAGGTTACCCTTAATTCTGATTCATCAGAACTGATCATTGATGGGCAGACTTTTGGTGGAAAGTTTGACTCCGAGAGTGTTGATACTGATGCATTACTTTCATGGTTGTACGCTGGATCTTCAATTGGTGAGCAGCTATTGGCTTGGAATCGTATGATTGACGAAAGGTCAAATCAGTGCGTCGACCTTATTCGGGCACTTGGGAGGGAGTTCAACAGCTTGCAAAACTCATGTGAACGGAAGCTTGAACAGCTGAGAAATGAGGAGGCCTTTATTTCTGTAGAGGGCCTCTTTTGTGAAGAGCAAACACGAAGGGAGCAGGTGGGGCGGTATGGATTCCAAACTTTCGAGGAGCTCCTCAGGAAGCGGCAGGAGGAGTTATTGGAATGCAATACTGAGGAGCAGTCTGACAGTAACAGATCTGAGATAGATGCAATCTCAGCTATTTTGAAGGAACTTCACACATCACACTTTGGTTATGATGAAGCCCTTTCTGGCATGGCTCCACGCCTTTATGACTTTGATGGGGCCGAAGAAGATGAATGGAGGCTGCATGATTTTATACATCCAAATGATTCAATGGTACACATCGTTGTATCAAAGATGAAGGAACAAGTTTCTATGGAGGTTAGTTTTTCTGGATTCTATTCACTGCAGGAGTTACATAAAAACCTTCAAAATACATTTACAATATATGTTTCATAACTTTTTTTTTGCTTGCAGATTAGCAAGGTAGATGCTAAGATTATGCGAAATTTCTCTGTGATCCGGCAACTAGAGCACAAGCTTGGACCTGTTTCTGCTCTTGATTATCGAATGATTCTTTTGCCCCTTATGAGATCGTTCTTGCAAGTGTGTACACATCATCACAAGTTTTGCTCCAGTGCCTTGTTTTTGCACTTTTTGCTTTTTTTATATGTCAGTGCCTTATGTTTTTGTTCATTGCTTAACTGTTTCTATGGTATGCAATGTAGAGCCATTTGGAAGAGCTGGTGGATAAGGATGCGAGAGAGAGATCTGATGCTGCAAGGGAAGCCTTCCTGGCCGAACTTGCCTTGGATGCTAAGAAGAATGCAAACAAAGGGGGTGATACGAAACAATCCCATGAAAAATCAAAGGATAAGAAGAAGTTTAAGGATTTTCGAAGATCAAAGGAGCTCAAGGTGGATCTGATTTTGTGTTAGACCATACACTTTACTCTTTTTCATGTTCGCATGAAGGAATTTTTCTTCTTACAATTCTTCTGATTTCTCCCTAGGATTCAAGCTGGAGTGACCAGTCTCTCAGTCGCCAAGACAGTGCTGACGAGGACACAGCAGAGACATTGTAAGTGATTCTTGCAGTACCTATATTCTCAAGAACTTGATTACTAAAGAAGAGCTCTTTGTGAGGGCACATTTGTTCAAATTTCTTAATTGGGTATGGTGCTTTGGAATCCTTAGATTCCTTTTCTTTTGGGGTATCTGTAGTAATTCTGTACTACTAATAACTGGCATTCTAATCAGCGTATGGTTGTTTTGTTAGAAGGTCACATTGTGTCAACAGAATTTACTCGAGGAAAGACGTGCATAATTACAAGCTTGCTTTCTTTGATTCAATTTTTTCTTATCCTACCTAAAACATGTTATATATCAATATATCATCTTGCAGCAGTAGGAAGCAGCCAATTTATGTGGTATGCTTCATTTCTATTATTCTATACTTGCCGAGTCATGTTAACCTTGCCCAGTAATTTTATTTTGTTTGAGTTGGTCTTGTGAATTGATAGGTTTGCTGGATAATATTGAAACATGGTACTACATATGTCAGTATTATTTTTAAAGCCATAAATTCCAGTTACTCATTATGATTAGAGGGTTACGAAATATGCCTACCAATACCCCCATCCGAGGGATTTATTTGATTATTATGGTTTTAAATGCCAGCCTGATAAGAAATCTAATATAAGTTGTTCTGTTTGCGGTGATCAATAACTAGTGATTGCTGTGGGAAACAAGATACAGTACAGAAATGAGTGTGAGCTACTGGATCTTGATGTAGGTGATCAAAGGGCTAGCAATGTTATGTGTACCCAAAGATAGATGTTTCCAGAAGAAAAGCAAATCTATCTTATACTCTCCCTTTATATTACCTTGTTGTTGTTGCCTGCATCAACATTTCACATTCAGTTACAACACTTCCCTAGCCCCATCTGCCCACCCTTGTGTAGAACTGTAGATTATAATAAATGAATGCTCCAAGTTTATCTCTATATGAGGTCACATGTTACTTGATTGTGACATAATGGTGAATGCCTTGTTGCCGTGTGGCGTCACCCAAACTTGTGCGCGTATTGTTGAAAAAGAAGCTGAGGGTTGAGGCCATTTAATGTTTGGGTGACGCCACACAGCTTGGAGGGTTGAGGCCATCTTTGTGTCATTAATGGCCCTCTGCTCCTGAGATGTTTGTTTGTCTCTTCTATGTCATACATATGCTTGTACGTGTTTCTGAAATTCACTGCAAACTTCATTGTCAGTGCCAAACTTGTGCGGGTATTGTTGAAAAATAAGCTGCAATATAATGATCCTTTCATCGACCTAATTTATTGGAGGTAGTTATATGCCCTTTAATTTTGACCATGCTATTTTCTTTATGTAGTCAAATGCTTGCTGATTGTGATGATTTGGATTGCAAACTCTTGACAAGTGATGATTACTTGAATGAACAAGAGGAAGAACTTAGGCATAGGGTACAACTCGAAGCAGAGGAAAGAAAGCTGGAAGAGACTCTGGAATATCAACGGCGGATAGAGGAGGAAGCAAAGCAGAAACATCTTGCAGAACAATGTAGAAGTACATATGCATCTTCTGTAATTGGTACAGCTTGTCTTTCAAGCACTGGGAATCAGGATAACCATGAAAGTGCACTCAATAACTCTTCGCGTACTTATCTCGAAGGCATAAAGTTTGGTGACTTTCACTACACCGAGAACAATTTCAGTCAGAAACTTAACGGATTGGATTCATCTGATGCACAGGCATTAACCAGCAGTGATATGAGTGTTTCTAAGTTGACATTGAAAATGAACGGGGTTTGGAAAAATGCACAACCTATAAAGCCTCTCAGTAATCATGGCACCCAAAATTCTAAGAGAAGCTCTAGCGAACCACAAAAGAAGTACTTCCAAGGTTGTGGGTTATGCACTATACAAGTTAAGCTTTAACTATCAATTCTGTTCACAATTTTAAAATGTATTACTATATATTTATTGTTGCAGGTGTGCCAGGTGCTATTTATGATGACGACGACAATGATAGGGCATCTGGGCCACAATTTGGTTCGAAAGCTCCTAGATGGAGCAGCTCTTGTAAAATAGCTCCCTATGCAAACCACAGCTATCAAGCTGGAAAACAGAATCACTCTGCAGGAACAGAGAAGCCAAATTTTGAGAAAGGTTGCTATTTTCGTGGGTCCATAAATCTTCGTATAAAATAATTTGCAATATCAGTTTTTGAGTACTGGATATAGTAGTTGAAGACTTGAAGTCTAAACAGACTGCTAAGGTTTACACAATAAATTAGCATACAGTGGCATGTACAATAATAGTAGTTGTTTCTTCTGAGTTGCATGGTATCAAATTGTACAAGCACCCCAATGTTCCTGGTATGAAAATGTACAAGTATCACAATGTCCTTCCTATATCTTTATGCCCTAAGTAGCCACTTGCCTATTTGGTTAAATAGGAGTATTTTTTTGGTTTCCTACGATACAAACTTGTTCATGAATAATAGGATTCACTTAGCAGATTGATAACAAATAAGTTTACCACATTTAGGAATGCCTCAATACAGCTGAAAGCTTATAAAGTATTGAAATACATCTAAGCATCGGTTAGTTATTATTGTATTTTTATTTCTGTTTTATAATATTCTTGTTCTTTCTTTAAGCATTTGTGTTACTTGACCAAACCAACCAGTATTGTACCTTGTTTACTATGGCCGTTTTTACATACTCATTCCAATTATTCTTTACTTTCTGGTTCCTTGACCTGATATCATGTCTTGTAAATTACCAAAAAAAATGCAATTGATTCTGTATATATATTTTTAAATTTGTTTATGATCCCAACTTATGTGGAATTGTTCCTTTCACATCCAGTTGACAGTGGTGCAATACCATCAGCGGATGTGTGCATCGAGGATGATTTTGATAAAAGGTTTCAAGAAGATCTTGATGAAGCAATGCGCCAAAGCCTTGGTACCCTTTTTATTATGACTGCATCCTTTCTCTATGAATATGCTCGTATCTTAGGCTCTTGAACATCCATGGACATTTATATTCAACACCTCTGTATTATCATAAATATATCTCTCTGTGTTAAGGCTTGTACAGTCTACAAATATTCTGCTTTGCATGAAATGTGCTTTCCTCATGTTATATAGATCTTTAAGTATATATGATGATGTGATGTTATGATGATTGTTCTCTTACTGTCTTCTTTCTCTGTTTCTATAAGAGGTTTCTGGTAATGATTTTAATTTTTTCTTATGGAATTTCAATGATTTCTCACTTAAGTCCTATCATTTAAGGATACAATGCTTATCCTGCTGGTACAATAAGCACTTCAAATGGGACAGAAGTGTATGGGACTGGCCTTAAAAATGCTGCTGGTGAATACAATTGTTTCTTGAATGTGATTATTCAGGTAAGCTTAGATTCATAATGTGCTATTCTCTAGAATTAGGCAATCGTTCTTTGTTTACCTAGTGTTCTTCTATTTGCAGTCATTATGGCATATAAGGCGGTTTCGAGACGAGTTCCTTAAAACATCATCACTGCACAAGCATATTGAAGATCCTTGTGCTGTCTGCGCTTTATATGGTATCTTCATTGACCTGAGCAAAGCAGCCAAGGGACAAGGAGAATCTGTTGCGCCTACTTCATTGAGGATTGCTTTGAGCAAATCCTACCCGAACAGCAAATTCTTTCAGGAGGTAAATTGATGTCCTCTCTTGATAATTTAAGGCTTTACGTATGTTGTTTCAGCATTTTAGCGTCCAAATTCTTACTTTCTTATATCGATGTTCCTTGGCTGTAAACATTTATGATCATGGAAGGGACAGATGAATGATGCATCTGAGGTACTGGGTGTAATCTTTGAGTGTTTGCATAAGTCGTACACTTCTCGTACTGTCTACCATGGTAAATCTCACGAGAAGAATTCTATTGGATCATGGGATTGTGCAAATATTTCTTGCATAGCACATAGTCTTTTTGGGATGGACGTATATGAACGGATGAACTGTCACAATTGTAAGATGGAGTCTAGGCGGCTCAAGTATACTTCATTTTTCCACAATATCAATGCTAGTTCACTCCGAACTGCTAAGGTTAGTTTTCTTTGTTTGGTTGAATCTCATGATATGTTCCCTATTTTTATTTCTGTTATATATGTGGTTTCTTATATAGTGCAATCATGATAGTTACTGGTTCTGTTAACAATTCCTTCTTCAGATGATGTGTCCAGATTCTTCATTTGATGAACTTTTGAAGGTTGTCATAATGAATGATCAACTACCTTGTGATCAAGACGTTGACGGCTGTGGAAAACCAAATCATATACACCACATCCTTTCTACATTCCCACATGTCTTTACAGTCGGTAAGCTTTTTTTTTTGGCTCTTGGATGTTTCAGGCTGCAATTATTTTGCACTGTAGAGTTTCATGTCCAGTCTAGCTGTTATTTGATGAATATTTGATCTCACAGTATTCTCTTAGAATGCTTTATATGTTTTATTGAATTCTCTTAGTTGACCATCTTCAATCAAGCAATTGTGATCTAGCTTACTTTTTGGCATGTTACAGCCTTGTGTGGGGATGATCCTGCACTAACACTTCCATGTTCTATATATTTGGTGAGATAATTTGTTGGCATATCCCTCTACTTACCTATTGAATTTTCATTTTAGTTTTGGGATGGCAGAACAACAAAGAGAGTGTGGATGACATATCTGCAACTTTGGCTGGTATTTCAACTGAGATAGACATTAGCATATTCTACCGTGGTCTAGATCAAGGAAGCAAACACACCCTGGTGTCAGTGGTATGGCCAAGGAGACCCTTTGTTTTGTTTTATCTCATTCTTGAATGTGTGGATGGTTTTGTTGATTGTAGTTTTCTTAAACCTGTAAATTATCTTCTTCCGGTATGCGTATTTATAATATTTATGCAGCAGCAAAAACATGTACAGCTGGCCTGTGCTTTTTGCAGGCCCAGCCCGAACTCCAGTTTGAGAATAAGACGATGTCTCCTGCTTGGGATACTATTTGTTTCTGTTTCCAGGGAGCTCATTGTGTTGTCACTTGTTGGTATTAGATGTGTTATCATCTGATTTGAGAACTTGCTTTCAGTAATTACGTAAACTGGGAGCTGATAGGATATGAAGTAGGCTGAATATATTTAAGGAGAATAGCAAATTGAGTTCAGCTGCATATAGCGTCAATGTGACTGTATTATTGCTGTTCACATAATTGTGGTAAAAAATTTCAATTCGAGCTGATAATTGCCACAATAACCTATCTTTCCATTTGTTGTCAATTTTTGTTTCATTTAGCTTCATTAGTATACCTGCCAAATGATTTATTTTCTCCAAATAATGGATCACAGTAAGGTGTGTTGCATTTTTAAGTAAACGTCGTGTCTTTACATAGTCTTTTATCTAAATCTGGTGTTTGGGCATCTGTCTGTCAATGCAAGGATCATTAGATATATATTACTGTTTTTTACACCTGCAGGTTTGTTACTATGGCCAGCATTATCATTGTTTTGCCTTCAAGGATGGACGTTGGGTCATGTATGATGACCAGACAGTCAAGGTAACCCAATAACCATACTACTTTGAGCATCCTTTTTACTCGTCCTACTGTTGCTTAGTGTGGCCCAATTTTGGTTCCATGTTATTTGTGCAGGTTATAGGTAGTTGGGGTGATGTGCTCGTGATGTGTGAAAAGGGCCATTTGCAACCCCAAGTGCTTTTCTTTGAGGCTGCAAATTAATTATTCTTCAGAGTCGTAAAGTGCTGTGCAGTGGTTAACATGCCCTCAAATTTAGGGGTTTTCCCTGTGGCCGTGAAGATTAGAAATAGAGTAGCAAATTGGTTTTGAGTGGGGGTATCGAGTAGCATTCAACAGTTGCGTTGGTCTGAGAGTTTTTGTCGAGCCCTTCGTAATAAGCAGTCACCTGAGCATTCTAGAGCAAAAAGGGAGATGTTTATCACTCTTTTTTTTTTTTTTTAACCTTTGGTATAGTTTCTGAACTTCTGATCCTTCATCTGCCAATAAGATTTCACTGCCGATCTTGTGGGTGGGGCATTCGACATGAACTGCCATCCAACAATTCTAGCCGAATCTGCCTAAAGCTCTTCATTATGCACCAATTATGTATAGAATTTTGTTCTTACAATGGGGAGGCTGGTATAGTTGAGTGTGCCTGTTTTGAGGCTAGAAGGTTTAGAATGGTTAAATGGAATGGATGATGCGGTGTGAACTGTATTTATCTGTGGAGGGGTTGTTCGAAAAGAGAGAGGCTATCTGGAATACGGTACTGACTTTAAGATGTGTCGATCTGAGAAATCTGTAGTACACGAGTCTGCTATATGTAAATGACTCGATGAGATTATGTGAGATGATTATAGCGATGAATAAGAGAATCCTTATCACTACTGTTGGTAACTTTGACCTTTCTGTGGCAGCAGCATTGAATAATGGTGCCGTTGACTCGCTGCGTTTGTGTTTTTTTGCTTTTTTTTTATAACCTGTTTTTCTGGTTATGGCAACCATAAGTCTGTGGTACATCGATTATTTTACATACTGGTACACGGTGTCACACAGGCTGATGGTTTATCTATATGGCTGATGGTTCAAAAACATGAACGTATCAAGAATACACAATCTGCTTTAGCGTTTTGTCAACTCATTTGGGAAGTTTCCTGTCGAAACAACAAGCACTTTAAAGTTTGTGCTAGTATTAAACTGTTATCGAGAGTGGGAGCCCAAATGTTTCTCTACCCACCGATAGTGATTCAAGGTGAGGATGCCATAGTTGGTTTTAATACCCTGTTGTGCTGTGTAAATTTGATTTAAGTTCGTGGAGAGGTGTTACTAATATATTTCATAGTAGGTCTAATAATACTCATTTGATTTGATATTTTGATAATAATACTCATTTGATTTGATATTTTGATATCGTAAGTAGTGTTGTATCTTCCATAAACTTGGTCACTTATGATAGTTTGATTTACGATAAAATCAAGCATTTACATTTGTGAATGGATGGAGTACTAATACCGCGCAAAAATACTAGAGCTACGGAAAAATACTCTTTATATCCCGCCATATTAATAAGAATAGAGATTACGGTGAGAAAAAAACATCTAATAGTTTCTTCAATTAGTTCTCTAAATCCAGTTTCTTGCTCGCTAAAGATAGAGATCCTCTGTTCCTATTTTTTTTGCTAGCTAAAGATTGTTTGCTCTTCGAAGCACGCGTAATATATATAGAGAGAGAAACAGTTAGAGAAAAGATACAGAGATTGGTTATATACAAATGATTTTCAAATAAGGATTCAAATAAAGGAGTCTAAGATGCAGATACTGATCTGATTTGTTACGAGAGAAAAATACTGTTATTTCGCTGAAACGATGGCTGAAGATCGTTGGAGAATTCATGCCACTGTGAAAAGGCCGTCAAGAACCGGCTTTACCGAGGCTCCTCCTCTGCAGGACTCCGTGGCGCAGGAGACGACTGTCCCACTCTGGTTAGAGATAAGATGTCCCCTTCTCGCTGCAAGTGATTTGGGTCTTGCCATGGAGCTGCCGCCGCTCTCCCCTCCGCGCGCCCACGCCGGCCTCCTCACCTGCAGCTCCACTCCCGTCGTCCTCGGGCTCCGCTCCCACTCCGCCGCCGCCGCTCCAAGCCGGCGCGCGCGGCCGCTGCTCGCCCGCAGGAACCGGAACAGCCGGAGCGACGAGGAGACCGCGGCGGAGCCGCTCGGGCGGCCGGGGAAGAGCCGGCGGCGCCGCAACAGGAAGCAGCAGCAGCAGCAGACGCCGCCGAAGGAAGAAGGAGACGACGACGGGGAGGATGACGACGACGACGAGCGCGACGCGACGATCCCGGAGGTGGTGACGAACCGGATGATGCGGCGTGTGGGGGCGTCGGTGGGCCTGCCGCTGGCGCTGGGCGTGGGGTTCTTCCCGGTGTTCTACTACCTGAAGGCGGTGGTGAAGGTGGACGTGCCGACGTGGATCCCCTTCGGCGTGTCGTTCGTCTTCTTCGGCGCGGCGCTGGCCGGGGTGAGCTACGGCATCGTGTCCGCGAGCTGGGACCCCGCCCGGGAGGGCTCCCTGCTCGGCTGGAACGAGGCGCGCCGGAACTGGCCCGTCTTCTGGGACTCGCTCCGGGGACGCTCCTCCCCGCCTCGCCGGGGCTCCTAGGAGTAGGACAGGGACAGGCCAATGCCCGGTGGTGACTAGCTCAGCACACTCTTGTGCGCAGTACATTTTTTCCCTGCTTTTTTAATGCCCATTCTTGCAGTAGATCGATGCATGTGTATGTGGAGACTGTTTTCGCGTGCGTTTGTCTAGCAATCTTCTGCGTATGTATGTACGTGCAGGACTGGCTGTGCACATCCATGTCAATCGCTCGCTGGTGTTGGGGACTGAGGTTCAGTGAGATGCGAATTGCCTCTCTTTAGTTTGACGCAGACAGTTTGCTTGGTTCGACTGCCGATCCAACAGATTATTAGCTCCGGACGTTCTGCGTTTTGATCTATTTTACTGCGTGACGCATATTTGCACAAGCCAATGGAACAACTAATAACAAGCAAAAGTATGATCTTCTCACGGCCTCGCCTCGTCCAACTCTACGAGAATACTGAGGTAACCATGTGCAAAGCTATGCGAGTTAATTAAAATTTCATCATATATGCATCCCTTGTAAAACATGTATAAGGCAAGTGCATCTATTCTAGCTTGGCAACTGAATATTCTCAGGATTTTACTGGGTTTCCTATGTTGGGTCAGGTCAAAAATTACGACCTCAACACGCCCGATGAATTTTGATCTAGTCGGGTCGGGCCAGTTTTTCTTCTTCTTCTTCTTCGAGTGGGCTGGGTTGGATGGCCATAATCAGGTGTGGTTATGCAACCGCCTTGTTGGATTTCTCCCGCAATCAAAGAACTAGGATTTCTCCCGCAGTCACAAAACTATTTCATATTGTGCATACTCCCTCCATTCAAAAAACAGTAAAATTCTCGTTTATCGAGGAGTTAAACAATTTTAGATTTAGCTAGATTTATATAAAAAAAACTACTAACATATACTAGATTTACCATAAAACATATTTTTGTAATATAAATTTATTTGGAGACACATATACATAAATAAATATTGATACTATTTCTATGAACTTGACCGGACTTACGCAAAATATTATATAATCCCTCTGTCCCAAGAGAAAATATTATTCACGTTACGAGAAGTCAGTTCATCTCAATTTTCATCAATTATATAAAAAAATTAATATTTACAATGCGTAATAAGTACCATTAGATAAATAGCGAAATATATTTTCATAATAGACCTTCAAATGTTAATACTATTATTTTATATAAACACAACTAAACTTAAAAACAGTTTGACCTAATTCAAAACCTAGAATCAACTCATTCAAGCGAAAGCATACAGATAAGGGCCTGCCTGGACTACGGCGAAAACAAACAATTAACTCGACTAACAAATTTCTAGATTGAACAGGCCTGAAGAACTACATAAAGTGGGAGACATAGTTGCCGCCGATGGAGATCTGAACACGCCACATATGCTTAGGTGTCGGCGGAGCCTTCGTCGTCGGTGACATCAAACTCCCTCTCAACGTACCCTTGTGTCTGGAGCTCCGCGCGATCGAATTCTTTCCTTTTCAAGCCTCAACTCCTCGCGCGACTTGTCCACGACCGCCGCCGAGGCGGCCAAACTGTCCCTGATTCGATCCCGCACGTCTCTGTCCTTCACGCGGGCCAGCTGCTCCTCGGACCAGCCGGGCCGGGTAGTCTCGATAGGGACTGCGAGCACAGCATCGATGTGCTTTTGCGTCAGCCTGCGCATGACCGTCTTTGATTTCTTCTTCCCGGCTGCCTTCTCCGCCGCAATCTTGCAGTCCTCTATGAAGGCTATGAAGTTGGCACGCTGCTCTGCATCGCTCATCACTGCCTTGTCCGCGTTCGTCGTCTTCTCAATGGAAGGCTCCATCTTCTCTGCATCGCTCATCCCTGCCTTGTCCGCCTTCATCGTCTTCTCAATCGAACCCTCCATCTCTCGAAAAGTAGTCTACAGTTGAGATAGAGGCGGCGGCGGGCGGCGATGTGTGCTGTCTTGAAACCTATCAGGACGCTTTGTTTTTTCTTGTATATATATACTAGCAAGCAAATGTGTCCGTGTATTGTACGGAACCATTAGGCATTGGAATCAGACTATACATTTATCAATGGATGCGAGTTTTTCTGACAAATTCAGGTCGGTTTATAGCCACTAAAAAAACACGTTGGTCTGCTTGACTTATAAGTGATATTTTTTCAATCAACGAATACTATTTTTTTTCTCGCAACGCTAACGATACCTTCATCGTGGCAGCCGAGCGAACATGCCAATGGAGGCTGCTGGTACGGGGCCTGGTATGGTGAGCACACGGGCTCCCAGCGGGCTTGATGGGATAGGGTCTGTCTGCTGCGGGGGTGGGCTAGGCCTTTTATCCACCCTATTACATTACCAGCAGTTTACCCGCCCTATTACATTACCAGCAGGCCCAATGCATCCACTTGCTGCATTTCGGCGCTAATCAGAGAACTATTTATATTGTTCATCAATTTTACTGTTAGGCCTTTTACTCAAAAAAAAAATACTGTTAGGCCTGACCAAACGTTTTGGGTCTAAAAAATATCGAATCAACTTTTTTTTGGCTCGCGCCAATCCAATGGAGCCGTCGGGACGGGTCAGGTTATTTCTCAGTTTTTTTTTTTCTATGTTGGGTTAAGTTTTATCCTGGTCGGCTCAGGCCAGGTATTTTTTGAACGGGCTGGGTTTCGGTGGCCCATGCCATATCCTTAAGAAAGATTTTATAGTTTACATCAATTTAGCCAAGTAAATTACGTAAAGATACGTACTCGATTTATTCCTAAAATAGTACAATTATAATTTTAAATTTAATAGAAAACTACTAACATTTATGATACTGTCGGTGTTTTCGGACCACCGACGAGTAAATTTGTATTTGCGCGTCTGGCTCGGATGGTGTGCTTTGAAAACACAAGGGTTTATACTGGTTCGTGCGGAACGTCCCTACGTCCAGTTCGCTGCTGCTCGTATTACCAGCACTTGGTTTGTAGTAGGGTTACAAACATGCGAGAGAGGGAGAGGATCCCAAGTCTCGTGGAAGGAGTGAACGGGTGCTGAAATCTCGCTTGCCGCTCAGCCATGTGCTCGTGTCGTGCTCTTTGTGTTCAGATCCCCCATGGGGCGTCCTGCTTTCCCTTTTACAGACGAAGGGAAAACGCGGGTTACAGAGGAAGAAAAGTAGAAGAACGAGAGAAAAGAATGCTTCCAAGGTCGTCGGGTCCTTCCCTTCATGCGAGTCCCGCTGATCCTATAGATGTCAACAAGGACAGCTCCATGTCACGGCCTATTCGTTACTGGCGTCATGCAAATAGTAGTAGTAGGGAACCCCTTTAAGGACATCCATAATGTGGGGCATATCAAGGAGTCAACATGAGATTCAAATACGTAGATACATCAAAACATCAACCTAAACTTTTTAAATGATCTAGCTGATGCATTAAACTAAACACTATTGGCAGAGTATTGCAACGACCATAATTATAAACAAGTTCCTCCTCACAAGTAACATTGGTCATCAATAATGGCATATGCGGCCATGCAAATGTTAAATTTTACCCAAAGTTAGGATTAACATTACTAGTACCGAAAGAAATAAAATGAGCTGTGGTTCAACAGCTGCATTCGTAAAACATATTTGTCGGTAGCGAGATATAAATTGCCATACATTAACTGCATAACAAGAGTGCAGTTCGCGAACAGGCGCCAACCCAGTCAAAATCTTTTGCCAGCCCAGTCAAAATCTTTTCGAGCTATAAACGACAACAGCGCACACATACTACTTTGGGTTCAATCGCTAGTGACTCACGATGACACCGGAATCACTAGTGACTCACAATGACACCGTCATGCAACCCGTAACGGCGGTGGACAAATTAAAGCTAGCAAGCATAAGAGCAGTACCTCTCCTTTCTCCGCAACTATCTGCAGTTCATCCTCAGCGGCATCACGCGAGGGTCCCCCCTCCTTGGCAACGGCAACCGGCTTATCAGGGTCACCGTCAAGAATGACACAATCATCGTCGTCGTCGCTGCCACGAGCAACAGGCACGGTGCTCGTGTTCTTGGCAGCAACCACACCCACGTCGCCAACAACAATCCCCGTTTCAGCCTTCAGGGAATCCAAGATCTCCAGCATCGTCGCCGGATAACCCACTCTCTCCAAAACCGCGTCATCGGAGTCTTCTTGGTCCAGTATTGCCTCCGCCCACGCAAGGGCGGCGGCGTCTGGTGACTTGCGCTTGCCAGCGACTGGCGTCTGCGCGTCGTCCTCCTCGTCGGAACTGATCACAATAGGCACCTCCGCCGCAGACCCCATCCGCTGCACAACGAACCCTCGGGAGGGCGCACGACGAGCAGGGAAAAGGAAAACCCCGGCCGCAGAGGAGGCCACAAGAAACCCCACTGAGGCGGGCAATGAACCATCCCTCCTTGGATGGAACGCACTAGTTGATCACCGTGGAGGACGCCGGGCGCCCTGGCCGATGGAAGCTTGCAATCCGGGCCAAGAAACACCAGGGGTTCATGACCAGGGATCGTGGCGGCGACGCGTGGTGGCCTGGGAGAAGAATCAAAGTGTCGGTGTTTTCGGACCACCGACGAGTAAATTTGTATTTGCGCGTCTGGCTCGGATGGTGTGCTCGGATGATACAAGGGTTTATAGTAGTTCGGGCGGAATATCCCTACGTCCAGTTCACTGCTGCTCGTGTTACCGGCACTTGGTTTGCAGTAGAGGTTACAAACAGGCGATAGAGGGAGAGGGTCCCAAGTCTCTGGTGGAAGGAGTGAACGGGTGCCGATAGCTCAATTGTCGCTCAGCCGCGTGCTCGTGTCGTGCTCTTGTGTTTCGATCCCCCCAGCCTGGGGCGCCCTGCTTCCCCTTTTATAGGTGAAGGAAAAGCGCGGGTTACAGATAAGAAAAATGAGAAGAACAAGAGAGAGAAGAAGGCTTCTAGGGTGGCTGGGTCCTTCTCCTTCATGCGGGTCCCGCTGATCCACTAGATGTCAACAGGGACGGCTCTAGGTCGTGGCCCTATTCGTCATTGGCACCATGCGCAGGCATCATCTGCCGGTCATGACATTCCACTCCATCCCAACGGACGTCGTGGTGAACTGACGCACCTGTCAGCGTCCGTATGAGGATTAGGCAGAACAGCACCGACACGTCCGACACTATTCTTGATATGAATCCTCAGGTATGACCTGTCATGGCCACGTGTTACATCGAGGCATGCCAGCCTCTTCCCTGGCGCCAGAGCTTTGACCCAGACACATACGCTTGGACCTGGAGTTGTTGGCGGCGGTATGGGTCCCCGTCGGACGAGACGGAACCCGCGGCCTCGAGGTCGGGCGAGGCGGAGCCTGTGGCCTTGGGCAAGGTAGAACCTGTGTCCTTAGGGTCGGGCGAGAAGGAGCTCGCACCCAAGGGGTCGCCCGAGACGGAGCCCGTGGCCTTAGGCGAGATGGAACCCGCGGCCTCAAGGTTGCACAAGACGGAGCCTGCGGCCTCGAGGTCGGGCAAGACGGAGCCCACGTGGCCTCGAGGTTGGGAGAGACGGATCCCGCGGCCTTGGGCGAGATGGAACCCCTCGTCCTTGGGGTCGGGTGAGACAGAGCCCGTGGCCTCGAGGTCAGGCGAGATGGAGCCCGCGGCCTTGGGGTTGGGCGAGACCTTTTAATACGTCTCGAGCCATCCGGGAAAGTCAGCGTGGGTGCTAACTTCCTTGATTTGGGTATCCCTAATATCGATACCTGACAGTAGGCCATGAGCCTGCGGAGGAGTAGGATACTCCTTTGGAGGCTTTTCCGGATGGGAGGACTCTGAGGGCCTTAGCCTTCTTTTTGTAGCCCGCGGCGTGTCCTGGTAGGACGGCGATTCTCTTTTGTCGCGATCGTTCTTCTTGGGGACATGTAACCATAGGATTCGGGAGGTTAGAAAGATTTTTCTTGATTCTGAGCCCCTAGGATCCGATCGGTCCATCGTCGTACTGCGACCACGCGTTCGGTCTCCTTGCGAGTCCAACTTCCCTCGAGCCCCCGCGCGTAGCAGGGGTCTGGTCGAGGATCGGCTCGTCTTTGTGATCGTCATCCCTCAAGCATTTTTTCGATAAAACGGAGGGGCTGAGCCGTGCCACGTTTTTCTTCGATGGACAAAACATGGTGCTTGGTGAGTTGTTAACGGGCTAGTCCGAGTGGGGCCCTAGCTTCCCATTCGCAGGGTCCGGCATGGGTCAGTTGGTTACCGACTCCAGGCTCCTGGCGGTCAATCCATATAGTTCTTGGGTCCATTCGGTCGGTCCTAAGGGCTCGTTGCCTTTCTTCGAGGAAAAACCATAGACTGGGAACTGACCAAGACTCGAACATGGGCCAGGATGCCCACGGCACTCGTGCGCCCAGGTACTGGCCGCTAGAGGGCCCATCCCTTTCCACCTCTCGCTCTAAAGGTGCCTCGGAGCGGCTGTGAACCTGTCGACGGGCCAACCTTCGAACTCCTGGTCCTCAATGGGTCGTAGGAGCATTTTTAGCTCTGTATTCCTCCTTACCTGTGACGGTTCTTGGCCCATTGATCGGGCGAACCATCATCCGGCGTGTCCTTTGAGGGCACGGCCAGAAATAGCGTGCACATGATCTTTGGGGGGAGGTGACGTGACGCGGCGCAGCGGGTGCGTGAACCTTGGCGGACGGTTCACCTTCTTGCCCCGCTCCATCCTATAAATAGCGGCCTCCTCCTTCACATTTCTACACATCAAAACCACAGTCTTACCTTCTCTGTTTCTCCACCGCTACTGTTCGGATCTGTCGTGCTCGCTAATCCGCCGTCGAAGCCCTAGATCTATAGGTTCCACTTCTCCACCACTGCCTTTGCTTCTCCGCAGCCGCCTCCATCCTCCATGGATTCATGGTACCGCTCTGATGTTACCCATGCGCGCATGGAGGCCTCGTCAAGCGTGGTCATCTCCACAGGAGGACCGATACGGCGGAGTGGCTTGTGCCCGGGCGTGAGGATGCGTCGGCACCGCCTGACGGCTACATCGTCTCCTTTGTGCCCTTCCACGAGCGCAGACTCGTGGTTCCTCCCCACCAATTCTTTCGGGGTCTACTGCACCACTATCAAATCGAGCTACAACAATTGAACCCCAACGGGATCCAGCACATCACGGCCTTCATCGCGATGTGCCAGGGGTACCTGAGGATCGAGCCCCACTTCAAGCTGTGGAGATATTTCTTCTCCATCTCCTTGATCAAGAAGAAGGAGAGAGGTCGAGAGACCCCGGTGCCGATAGGATGCACGGGCATCCACCTTCGGGGGCAGCGGGTGGCCGAGTACATGCCCTGCCAGCTCTCTAGATCCAACAAGATGTGGCACATGCATTGGTTCTACCTGAAGAACGACCCTACGGCTCCCTTGCCGGTCTTCTCTGGGTGCCTGGTCGAAGTGGTACCGCCATCATGGCCGTGTGGGCCACCTATCAAGGAGAAGAGGATGCGTGACCTCCTCGGGCCAACATCATCGGGGGGGGGGTATCACACGAGGAGGGTGGCACCGCTGATGGCGCGTCCTCCCGCTGTATAGGATGATGCTCGGCACGTAGCTTGTCGGGACGACGCTCGCCCAGGGGCTGGTCCATGGCAGCGAGGTCACGTAGCGCATCAAGGAGGCCATGGGGAGGCCGACGCCATGTTCCCAATCCGTGGCATCCCATGATGTAGACGAACGTGGGCTTCATCGAGCTACCGACGGGGTTAGTCTTGAGGGTCTCTGTCGCGCCGCTGCTAGAGCACGCGGCCATGAGGGTGGTGAACCGTGCCACAGATGAACAAAGGAAGAAGAAGAAATGGCGGTCGAAGCAACGAGCGAAGCTGCAGCGAGGGAAGCGGTGTCAAGGTTCATCGGAAGAAGAGGAGGAAGAAGAACAAGAAAATGAGGAGGATGATGGCTCCAGGTCGCCCATCTCGTGGGATGATCTAGCCACCAGGGATGAGGACCCGCCTTCACCACAGGCGGGGCCCTTCCTACAGCATGCCACGAGGCAGGAGGGGGAGGACGCACACCTGAGCTGACGGAATCAAACTGCCCCGCCCCGTCCGGACCTTCGATGGAGGCCTCAGAACCGGTGGAATCAGGCCGCCTCACCCCGTTCGAGCCCTCGGTGGCACCTCTGGAGTCGGCGGGAGGTCACCATTCTGATTCATCTGAGCCCTCCGAGCTGAGGGAGGGCTCGAAGCGGCAACGTGTCAACGAGGAGCAGCCGGGGTTGAGCAAGCCAGTCCCAAAATGTTATCGCATGATGGGGTCAGGGTGAGTCAAGAGCCACCGAGCTGGATGACATCGAGAAGGAGGTGGCACCTCTAGCAGAAGACTTACCTGCCGAGATAGGATGAGATCATCCCCCTAAGAAATTTATTAGGTAGATAAGCCAGGCTACGAAATTGTAATAAGTGGACAAGCTCTTAAATTTCGTTATGGCCAAACAGATTTTTAGCTCTTCTCCCCTTTTTGTATAAAAAGGTTAATGTGTTCAGACCCTTTTTGTCGTTAAGGCTGTAAAGCTCGGGGTGCGGGTGAAAAATTCTGATCACGTTGGTGAGTAAAAATGCCATAGCCGCTGGGGCGTAGGTTTCTTGTAGTCCGACCAGTTTTACTCGGCGTTTGTTTCTGCAACCCTTGCTTCTAGATCTAAACGTGAGAAAGGGTCGGGCATAGAAAATCTCTACTAGATAGATATACTCTTTAATGCATTCCGACTCTTTTCATAGTTAAGGCTAAAAACCTCAGGGTGCGGTCAAAAATTCTAATCACATTGGTGAGCAAAAATGCCATAGCCGCTGGGGCGTAGGTTTCTTGTAGTCCGACCAGTTTTACTCAGTGTTTGTTTCTGCAACCCTTGCTTCTAGATCTTACGTAAGAAAGGGTCAGGCATAGAGAATGTCTATCAGATAGATATGCTCTTATCAACCCCCAAGTGGGGCCCGATCCCTTGCCGTTGCTGGGGTCGGGTGTTACTAAAGATCGAGGAGTCAATAGCGAAACCGATAAGAGAAAGCGTGCGTAGATTAGGGGTAAAAGCGACATACCTATTCGATATTCCAGGCATTTATGAATACTTCACCATTGATGGTCCTGAGACCCTTGCTGTTGCTAGGGTCAGGTGTCACTAAAGATCGAGGAGTCGATAGCGAAACCAATAAGAGAAAGCATGCGTAGATTAAGGGTAAAAGCAACATAGCTGTTCGATGTTCCAGGCGTTGACAAAGACTTTGCCGTCAATGGTCCTAAGCTTATAGGTGCCTGGTCGAAGCACCTCTACGGTGATGTAT